TCCTACCGCGGATTTGCGTGTTCGTTCGTGATCTATTTGGTCAAAGGCGACGGCCAGAGGAGAGGAAGCCGAGGGTAGTGTCAGCCTAAGTTCCGGAGAATCTCCGGGGGGGGGCGAGGCTGACGACCGCAGCGGCGGCAATGTAGATGGCATGAGCATGGCTGAAGACGAGAAGGCGGAGGGCGAAAGTACAAGAGCGGAGTGGTGCTGCTTTTGCACAGGGGGGGGAGAAGAAAGGTATGGCAGGGGGTGATTTGGCCGTCGGTTCATGGGTAATACCATGCTTTTATAGCCAAGCGAGTAGGGCGTGTGCGTTCCGTCCGCAGCGGCAACCCTCGTCGGTGGCCTACTCATCGATGCGGTTTAGCATTAAAACTGATTAAAAGCGTTTCCCGTGTGTTTCCTGGTACCATTGTCACCATTTGTGACGACTGATCAACAGGATGTTTGGCGCATGCTCGCGTTGCGGAATTAAGCACACGGCGGACTGTCGGCAGGTTGCCTTTAGCTTGGGTCCGGTGCCGAGGGTCATCTACTGCGTAGACTGCACCGCAGCGTCCCAGACAGGGAAGGGGGGGGAGCGGGTGGAGGGTCTGTGCTACCTCGAAAAGAGGCATGTGATCAGGCATCGGGAAGGGCCGAGGGGACCCCCTTGCCACGAGCACCACACGGCCACCTATCTCCGCGAGAGGACTTCGGTAAGTGCCGCGTAACGCGCCTTCCTGGACAAAATTTACTTTTAACTATGATGCGATGGTACGATGGAAGCGATACAGGCGTACAGGCGCTGCTGCAGACCGTGCTCCCACGGCTTTCTTGTTGCTGTGTTCTGTATGCTCCTGATTTTGGTGTCCTGCACTATACTTAGCGCCGCAGGCGACCCTCGCCCTCGCCCGTACACATTTGCGTCATTCTGTCCCGCCGGTCCAAACACAGCGCCCGGGGACATATCGCTGGCGATGCTCGGTCGTCGGTCATGAGCATCTCGGTGGTCAACGGTGCGACTTTAAGAAGGTTGCTAAAGTATCCACACCGCGCAGCGAAACCGCGAGCTCTGCAGAGGGAGAGGAGGGTGATCGGACTGTACGTGCAGGAGAAGCCGAGCCACGGACGGAACAACAAGGCTCCCCTGCAGAAGGTGTGTGCATGTTATGCATGTTACGATGTAATCTCGAATAGATCGGGTGCGAGGAGGGTACGTGCCGTCCATGGTGTAAAGAACGTACGCGGTATGAATCGAATATGAGCTGTCCATACGTATTTGAAATCGACGGTTTGGATGGAACGTTTGCCTCTCGTAATCCCCCCCCCGCGCCCCCGCCCCACGCGCTACCCTATGAAGGAGACGCCTTGGGAGCAGCCGAGGAAAAGAAGAAGCCAAAGACACCGCAAGCACTGGTATCCCCCCCCCGCGCCCCCGCCCCACGCGCTACCCTATGAAGGAGACGCCTTGGGAGCAGCCGAGGAAAAGAAGAAGCCAAAGACACCGCAAGCACTGGTAAGCCAAAGGTCGGGTGCTTGGAGTTTTCGGTCTATGGTGATATCGAGCACGCTACAAAATCGTAAGAGGTTCCCAATCAGACAAGCAACCCTTTGCCGTTCGCTGCACGTCCCTTGTCTTTTTTCGCGGACCGTGGTACATGCCGAAAATGATGGCCGGAACAGATCGACGAAAAAGTAGCCGCGTGGGGGGAACTGACCTGGGCCACGGAAAGAGCGAGGGCAGCTGCGAAGCTGGCAAAGAACGCCCACAGGCGACTGGTCTCGGTGAGCACAAGCCGTCGCCAGGAAATACTGTTGGACGTGTTGCCGTATGGGAAAACTGATCGACGCCGATGGATCAGCGTATGGAAGGGTTAGGGCCGTGAACGCGATTTGCCTCGGTTTCCCCCCGGTTTGTATCTTGAGTCGACAGGCTTCGGAAACTGCCGATGACGTGGCCTTGGATGATGGCGGCAGTCAGGAGGACGAGGATAGGGCGAGAGCGGCCGGCGCTGCAGCTTGGAATGGTCGATTGGCGGCGGCTAGGACGTGGTGGAAGTACCAGAAAGCCCAGCACGCACAGGAAACTGCACGACGGCTGCTGAAGCAGGTGAGCCTCTTCGGTTGAGGTTTCCCCCTACGAAGCGCGTTCGTGCGCAGCAGCACCGGTTTTCCACGCTTGTTTGGTCAGTGTCCGCGAAAGGCAGGGATCCGTATGGGTGGTTGGTTCGGGTGACGAGCTGGGGCACGTTCAGTGCTGGCGTCTGTCGTGTGATACCTGTTAGATCGCGTAAATGCCGAATTAAATTGTGCTGGTGCTGCAGATGCGCCAAGATGCCGGCGTCAAGGATACGTCGCCGGATGGCGAGTACGATGACCGTGACTATGACAGCACATTCGACTATGACTCTGAAGACAGCGATGTCACTACCGGGTGGGACAGCCAGGACAACTCCTTCTCGTCGGATGAAGGTATGCTAGCGACAGAGTGGTATACCCAACGGCAGCGGCACAAAACGCGTTTCCATCGCACCCATGTGCACCCTCTGCGAAAAGCCATGGTACCGCAAAACCCGTTGCTGTAGCCTCAGTATTATTCTATGTCGTAAGAAGGAATGGTGGTATGTGGTCTTCATCTTCTTCGTCGCGTTTGTGCGTGGAGGCGCAAACGTGGTGCCTATCTATCGCTTCTGCTGTTGGTGTGATCCTCTCCCCCCACGGCGACATTGCATCCACCCGCATGAGAAGCCTCTAGAGGCCCCCGCCTGCCCTCACTGCGGATTGCTGGCAGAAGAGCATTCACTTCTTTGGGTTGGCTGCCCTTTTCGCAGATGATTCCGGCGACGAGGAGAACGACAACTCCGCGGACACCTCCAACCTCCCCGACCTGGAGTACAAGTCGAAGTATGCTCCCGCTCCCGTCTTCGAGGTTTTAGAGGACCCTCAGGACACATGGAAGAAAATCGAGGACGACATCAAGACAGCCTTGGTCAACCTTGGACACGACTGTGCCATGCTCGTGAAAGGAAAAGAGCGGGTGCGTTTCGATTTGCCGTGTTGTTTGTCATAACCTTGTCCCTACTTGGGCTATGCAGTTAGGCCGATTTCGACGTAGAGGTTTGTTTGTGGGGTCTCACACGCACTGTCTATCTACCTTGGTTTTCAACATTCGAACTGTCTGTGTGAACACAAGGTATCGAAGCAACCAGGAGCTCGGTTTAAGAAGAAGTTGATCACCTGCAAGAACTATGGGAAGCCGACCTCCACGGCGAGGCACGCCAACGTTGACAAGCAGAGGAACACATCATCGTCCAAGGTATGAGCAAGCGCTTTACTCGAAGGTGGTTGACTTGTAGAGGTCGCGCCAGTGTCTCGATACCATAGCCCTTCGATGTGGAATACGACTTTAACGACAAAGATCCTTCTGTGCCGTCCGGCATTTTCTCTATTCACGGTGTAGACGGCGGTTCGCGCTGGTTCGAAAGTTCATCACCTGCATCTGCCGTCTGTCTCTGGTGAAGCATATGGCTCATGGGTTACCCTTCGTTCCTCTCTTGTCCTATCGACGGTGCTGCGCTCCCGTCAGTGTCAATGCACTTTCAGATTGTGGGTTTACTGGGGCGAAGGCCTCACACCACATTTGGGCGAGGTGAGAGAGAGACTCACGAAGCACGTTTGCCGAATCTCGCTCCAAATGTTGCTCTTTGGGCCGAGCCGCGTAGATTTCCTGGCGGCCTTCGTTACTCCAGGACGCTCTGCAAACGCTGGCGCCTCTTTAGTCAAGACGCATTTGGGCGCAGTTGACGTGGTGATGCAATGTATACGAATTCGCTCCAAATGTTGCTCTTTGGGCCGAGCCGCGTAGATTTCCTGGCGGCCTTCGTTACTCCAGGACGCTCTGCAAACGCTGGCGCCTCTTTAGTCAAGACGCATTTGGGCGCAGTTGACGTGGTGATGCAATGTATACGAAACAACCTCCTCTACTACATACTTGTCTGCGCAGGTATGCCTCACGCACGTTGATGAATGTGCCGCGGAACCGGCTGCAAGGGCTAAGAAGAACTTGGTGTCCTTTGAGCGCATCCAAGAAGAGTTCGACTCTGATGTTCGAGTGTGGACGGTGGCGGGGATGAGACAGTTCGACATGTACAGATTGATCTCTAATCGTGTCAAGCCCCTTCAGCTCGGGGAGCCTGGTCGACAAAAGGTGGACGAAGCGGTGCCGATATTTCTAGCGTAGTTGAAACCCTCGGAGGAGGTACGCGTTCCTTGTGTTAGGGCATGAGGGTCATGCCCGAGCACTGCTGTAGGGGCTTGGCATCACTGCCGTTGAGTGGGAACATTCCCCGGTAGAAGCATGTGGGTCACGTAGAAAACACAGATGTGTCTACGGCTCCAACATGTTTTGGTGTTTTCTCGGCCTTCGTCGACGTTGTCCGTGCAACTGTCAACATCGACCTTTAGGTGAGGAACATGGTGAGAAAGGTGCAGGGCGAGCTCTGGTCTACGCCAACGGACGCCCTCGACTTGGTGTCTGGGCTGAAGGACCTGCCTGGTTGCTATGTCGAGTGGGACACGGACGCCATGCATCGACTCAAGCACGTGTTTTGGTCGACGGGCCAGCAACAGCTCTTCGCGCGCCAGTGGGGTGGAATCGTCATTCAGGACAACACATGCCTTACCAACAGGTGCGACTGTACGACGTCTGCGTAGCCCTATGAGACCAACGTTAGGCTTGCTGTTCTCTGTATTGTGGCGCTCGCACGACAAGTGATCAAACATGAAACGGCATTTGTGATGTACCATCAAATCCCGCACGGCATTGTCGATTGGAATCTTGACACACTGCAACTCGGTCTCCGGCGATACGAACGTTCGTGTAGGTATGGCATGCACCTCATGCTGTTCATCGGAGTTGACTCGGAGAACAAAACGGTCGTCTTCGCCCAGGGGTTCTTCTCTGACGAATCGACCGACTCCTTCCTGTGGGCTTTGAGGCACTACTGTACAATTTGCGGGGGGCACCCGGAGGTGGGCCAGGCTAGCATTGGTGTGCGGCCAATCGCCGTGTTGGCGTGGATAGAGCCAGACAATTGCTGGTAGTGCCTTTTCCTTCAAATGGCCGCGGGCGTGTTTGGCCATGCAGCTCAACAAACATACGTAAGACCCACGCCGAACCCCGATGATATGTCCTTGGGGTCGATCCATCATGCGCTCCCTC